TCTTCCATCGTAATTTTGACATTAGCATTAGAATTCACTATGCCTTGTAGGTAAAATCTCTCAGCTACTGGCGTATTTCCTATTATCTTACTCTAGGATTTCAAATTTGTAGCTAGGTTTTGAGATTTACCTATGGTTTTCTCCTCTGCTTCCACCTGTTCCGCCCATGATTTCTTCCCGCTAGACTATGCTTGATTGCTGGTATCCATCTGTAATTGCTTGCGTAATTACCATCGATGTTGCCATTGGCGTTTCCGTTGATGGTCCCGCCATAGGTGTCTGCTTCAATTCCAGCGGAGTTACTCCTTGTATCACATTAATGCTCCTAGTTTTCTTTGCATCTTCAGTTTGTGGGATTGCTCTCATGCCAAAAGTCCTCTGTTGATTCACCGTTCCTAATTGCCCTCTCCCTCCAGTCCGTTGCTTCTTCGCCATTTCAGCCTTAGCTGAGAGAAGCTCTCATTCTAGAGAGAGAAAGCTCTTGAAGTGGAGGTTAGCATCTATCTACAAATAAATTTACAATTGCATTGCATAATCTATCTATATATTATTAAAAGAAGAAGAAAATGCATCCATATTTAGTCAAGTGGCAGCCTCACAATAGGCCACTTGGCATTTTAGGACAAAGTTAGTAAGGTTAGGTAATAATTAGTTTCTTTTGAATTTATTTTTTTTAAATAAATTATACATTATGTGTTGTTAATAATTAGTTACTCTTTTTGAATTAGAATTTAAACATACTTATTTCTTTTACGATTTTTTTATATATTTAAAATTATTTTTATTTTACGCTAAATGCCATCTTTCAAGTTTGACACTCAAAATCATCTAGTTACAACTACCATGGCTATACATAATTTTATCCGACAATATTCTTTTCACCGATAAAGAATTCGACTATTATGCTAACGAAGACATTATTGCAGAGATTGATGAAGCAGATCAGCCTTTTGATATTCCTTTAGAAATGCGAAGCAAGTCTTCTACTAATATGGAAGCGTTGTGTGATAGAAGTAGAGATGAAATTGTTGAGAAGTATTATCATGTGTGAGTGACTTTACTTATTATTTCATGATGGATTATTAATATATAGTAATTTGTGGATAGACTTCTAATTTATACTGAATGATGTTACTTAATTATTCAAATCATCATATAAAAATAAGTAATTGTACTAGATAGTATCATATACTTTAGTATAACTATATATGTAAAATAGATGTAAATCTTTAATATGTTTGTTTACTTTATGTTTTATATTTTAATTAAATAAAATAAATAAATAATAAAAGTCACTTACGATAAATATTTAAGTTCATTTTTATATTTAAAAGAATTATACAACCTTTGTACTTTCCTATTTGGTAATTTGACACTCAAAAGCACTTTTTGAAATGATTGGACAAACACAAATTATTTACCAAATGTTGCAAAAAGTACTTCTTAAATTAATTGGCCAAACATAAACATTTTTTTTTTCAAAAGTACTTTTAAGAAAAGTACTTTTGAAAAAAAAGTACTTTTCAAAATAAGCAGATTTTGGCAGCTTAGCCAAACGGGCTCTTAGTCTCATATAATTAATAATTGGGATTTTGACACAGTTACCCACAAAAACAAAATTATTTACCCTTGTCTACCCATTTATTTTTCTACCCATAAACTAATTACATTTCCTACCCATAGTAGTTTGTGTGGAGAATTTTTTCTTTATTCTNACCCATAAACTAATTACATTTTCTACCCATAGCAGGTTTTCTTGAAGAATTTTTTCTTTATTCTCCAATTCTTTTTTATTTCTATGCTTCTTTTTTTTTTCTTTTCTCCTTTTCTTTTTTCTTGTTTTCTTCTTATTTTTTTCTTTTTTCCTTTTCTAATCTCATTTAACTTCTTTTTTTTTATATTTTTTTTCTCTTCATAATCTAATTTCATTTACTGTTTACACTATTTTTTATTATTCTTTTTTTTATATTATTACTAAAGAAAAATTAAATTGTGTACCAATTAAATGTAGCTACAACCAAAAAACATTAACTAACATACGATACCGGTATAGTATATAGCTATACCAACAGGGTATACAATTGTACGCAAAGAGATAAAAAAATCTTAATTCAATTATTAAATTGAAATAATATCAGTTATCAATAAAAATTTCAAAAAATTCTAAAAGGATTTAATTGTAAGAGTATACCGTTACATTACATAGCATACTATAATTTATTTATTTTCATTTTTAATGTTCCCCTCACGCTGGGTAAAAGCTTAAAGCAAATTAAAAGGGAAAAGGCAAGTGAATTTACGGGTAATAAGTATACTATTATAGTATATTGTATGCTATTACAACTGTTACAGTATATTGCATATTATTACAGTATACTATAACAATATATTGTATACTATAATAGTATATTGTTGCAGTATAACTATATATTCCTATAGTTTATTGTATACTGTAGCGGTATACTGTTAGGTAACTGTGTTCTTCTTTGATTATTACAATATACTGTTGTAGTATATTGTAAACTATAATAGTATACTGTTGCAGTATAGCTATATACTCCTATAACATATTGTATACCGTAGCAGTATACTATTGGTAGTTGTGTTCTTTTTCGATTTTCAGCTGAAATTTCCAACTCAATCACCTCAAATCAGCTCCAAATGCTATCAAATTTCAGTATGAACTTCCAAAAGGTATTATAAGCAATATTTAACAACACCCACTTTGAATCAAACAAGAAATCTACAAAATAAAAAGTTTAAGCCAAGGCAAGAGCAAGATCTAGGGAAAGAACAATCAAGAAAAAGTGGAGCAGAATTGAAACTAGCCAGAGGTCAACTTCTCAGATAATCAGATCTAATTTCTTTTTGAAGAAGGATATAAGGGAAATGGAAGAACAATTTTGTAAGAACAAATTACAAGCAAGTCAAGAAATAGAAAACAAGAAAATAATTCAAGGATCTGGAGTTACTAAAATTAAGACCAAGCCTTCTTTAATCTTGGGTCTTCACTCAAATTTCTCTGCTCCTATAGAGTCATCAACTACCTACTAGGGGTAACCTGAAGTTGTGCCCTCATCCAAATTCTCAGTGTAGAAAGGTAATATAGCTTCTCATGCGGCCTTGGCTGGTGATACGAATCTCATTTGCATTAATGGGTGTTTCTACTCTCTGCTTTTCCACCTTCTTGTACCGATCCCTCTATTATTAATAACAACAAATCAAGTCAAAAATCCAAAATTACTACTAATTCAGAAGAAAGAAGACACATTTAGATTTGTTAGGAGTGTAAAATGGAAGCTAGGGTTTGAGAGATGGGATCTGGAACATGAAGTTGTGCCCCCGTCCAAATTCTCAGTGTAGAAAGAAGAGCTATTTTAATAGAATAAATGAATAAGCGGGTAAATAGTTTGGGCCGCATGGGTAGGAGTAGTAAATAGTTTGGGCCTGGGCATTAAAGGGTAAATAGTTTGGAATTAATAGGTATAAAGTGTGATTTTCTCTTAATAATTCCAGCATAAAATCTCCATAAAGATAAGGAATTTTTACCTCCTATAGCAAAGGTTAACACCTTATTTATTTTAAATAAATACCATATAAAATAATTATATTCTATAGATACCTTTTAAGGTTTATAGCAAAATATTTAATTTTGGTTACCTCCTAGCCCTACGCCACTAAATACGCTATTTAGTTACACTATTTTCTTTCTCTCTCTACTTTGATACATCCCATTCTCTTCCCCCATTCCCTGAAAACACGATGCTCAATCTCAAAATTCCTCTCATCCACACTATTTTCTTTTTATTCCGATCAATTCTTGCACCGAATTGAATATGTTGGGTAGCAGCGGACAGTGAACTATGAAGAACCTTAGATAGCAAAGAGAAGAAAGAGAATTAATTCAATCTGACCACCGACAAAATATAAAGCCTTGGATACAGTGGCCGACGGAGCAGCGACGACGGAACAGCGGACAGCGGACGGCCGAGATTGAATCTGTTGGGTAGCAGGTAATGAAAAAAGGTGTCGCGTGTTGTACCTTCAAACGTTGCTACGGAGGATTCGCCGGAAATTGGGGTTTGTTCTTGAAAAAAGACGACGGAGTTTGGGGTTGAGCAACTTGATTTTCTGTTAATATATTTCAATGTATTTTCATGTATTTCATTGTATTCATTGTCTTTTTTTTCATTGTAATTCAATGTATCTCGTTGTATTCCATGTATTTCATTGTATTCACTGTCTCGCTATATGCCATGAATGTATTCAGATGTTTTTTTTAATTAATATAATTTATGTATTCAGATGTATTATATAATTTCTCTGAAGATTGCTATGTTTTTGGGGTATTTTTCGGTTGAGAATCTTTTTTATAACTGAAAATACAAAATTTGTGTGTTATAATTGAGTTTGTTGAGTTATATTAGGAGTCTATTATGTTAATTGATTCACTTTCCGTTTTAAAAACAGTGTAATCCCCTATTTCACGCCGTGAATACAGTCGAATACAATAATTTATCCAGCTGTAATCCCATGTTTCACTCCATGAATACAGTCGAATACACTCGAATACAACAACTGATTAGCTACACTTCCCTGATTCACGCCTATTTTTGCTACTGTATTCATGAATACAATAGCTTAAATACATCGAATACATCTTATAACCACAGAAAAGGTATCTATAATCCGTAATATAACAAATGGTATCTATAGATGGCTAATTACTACTAAAAGATAGTGCTTTATGAAAATTTCCCTAAAGATAATACAAAGTTTGGTTAGCCATATAACACAACATAATCGCTGCATAGCTAACGTAATGTTAGTCAGCGGTATCAAAAGATACCTACATTATGTTATGCATAAGAAATATATTATTTTATGCAAGATAAAATGTGAAAAATAAGAATACATGTATTAACAATACATAGATTAAATTAGTTAAAGACAAAAAAACCCTTTAAAGTAAGTAATTCATGTATTATTATAACATTCAATTGAAGATTAATCACCAAATGACAACCTTTCATTATTGCTCATGCATAAACATTATAATTCCTGCATAACTAAATGTTACAAAAAACTCTAATAGCAAGTTGCTTAGCAATCAATCAAAATAATATGCTTAGATTTATGTACTCTGCTTTCCTTTCCAAAGCCACAAGATGATCAAAAACAAAACTAGGATGCAATCTGGAAAACTCTATTGTACCAAATAGAATGAAGTATCAAGTGGAAAATGTCATACTTTACAGGTTCAGGATGCCAAAGGAAATGTTGTTGTACCTTCTTCACATTGTTATACAGTTTCAAATATCTTCTTAGTGGGATCGATTCGAGTATAGACTTTAGATTAGGAATGTCCTTCTCTTGAACGAAAACAGCAAAGGACTCCCAGTTCAATGTCTCCAAAAATGGTGGTACGAAGTTGTCAGATATGATCACGGGAACACATTCGTAGGAAATAGCTTCCACGACTCGTGGACTGTTGACTTCATAACCTCTTGCACAAATGCAGTATCTACTGCTCTTCATGTGCTGGATGTAGTCAGTCTTGCGCATCTTCCCAAAGATTTTCATGTTTGGATCTTTGTTTTGCCAGTACTTTAAAAGAATAGGACGGACGTACCCATGCATACTGCCTGCGAAGAAAGCAAGGAATTCTCGTTGACTAGGACGTTTGCCTCCAAGGCTTCTCGAGGGATCAGCTGAGCCAATATTTGTTTCCGGTAGAGAAGCATCCTTTCCTAACTTGAATCCTTCTTTCAAATCAGCATTGCAAAATGACTTTATGCAATTGGCCATCTCACGCCTAGTTTCTTCCGGGGCCTACAACAGAAGAAGAGAAAGACACTTCAAAACCATACACAACTCCTTATTCTCCGAAAGAGAAACCTTGAAACGATATATATAATACAACTCTACATAGAGAAATAGATTGAACATAGATGATATCAAAAGCTCGTAAAACATACCCAGTCGTGGCAAGCAACAAGAAAATGGTCAGCTCCTTGTGTTCTGTTCCAGAATGGATATCTTCCCTTGATCAAATCAACATAGTTCTTCAAATAGGCTTTTAGGTTAGTGAAACTGTGAGAACCACGCACATACACAACTTCTCCCAAAATTTGAGAACTAAAGGGCAAGTAAAATAGGTGTGCTTTGTTTGGGTCATTGGTAAGGAAATGCTGGCTTGCTTTTAACTGCTGCATGAACCAACCTTCTGAAGCATAGATGCCCTTGAGCCTTGGTTGATGGAATACTGGTCTCTTTCCCTCCCTGTATATGTAAACCTTGAGATTCCGTTCCATTAACTCATAGCTCCTGCATTTCATGAAAAAATCCATTAAACATACTTTTATCTCAAGATTCAACCGAACCAGCAAAAGCCAATTTGTCTTTTCGAGAACAACAACAAAAAACCCAAACGACAAACCCAGTGTAATCTCACAAAGTAGGGTCTGGGGGTATAGTGTACGCAGACCTTACCCCTACCTTGTGAACAACTTAGTGACATAAAATAATTACTCTTTGGGAAAGAGTAACTTTGTGATAACTAATTCTTTCTTTTTTTCAGATATGCAACATGGTGTGGACACCCGGACTGATCTAGCAGATTATGCTGTATGCAACTTATAAATGATGCTTGCTTATACTAGACAAGTCAAGAGTCTAATTTAGATACAGTAGCAATGAATAAATTCTTTCTTTTTATGACAATTTTAATAGGTGGAGACGAATTTATGACAACCAGAACTACCACTACTGGTAAACTAATGTGTACCTTTTAAATTTTGAAACATTGTGATAAACTGGTGCATGTAGTCCTGGATCACTGATAATGTTGGCTGCACTTTCGATCTGTGACTTTGCACTCCGCAATCCTTCATCACTGGCTGAAGACCACATTGGCTTCTGGCAGAATTCAATACAGAAAAGGGATTAGCAACAATTTCCTTTAATGAATTAGCTTTCCCTTATCTTACATAGACCTAGACATACCGTTAGAAGGCTCGAGGGATGACTCCAGAGCATCATTTTAGTCATTTCAGATATTGATACTACTCCTTCCACTGGCCTATCTGTCGCTTCCTTCACAGCCGGGGAGTTGGTCGTAGTGGAACCATTTCTTGGAGTAGTGGTGACATCATAGGGATTATGAGAACTAGCCAGAGCAGTAGAATTATCACCAACATGTCTAAGTGAAACAGAGGGAGCTGGTGAACTCATCGGCTGTGATGTAGCATTCGAGTTTAAAGGGATGACCCCAGCTACTTCATCATTCCGGGTAGTTGTGGCACCATAGGGATTATGAGAACTACCTAGAGTGGTCGAATTATCATTAACTTGTCTAAGTGAGACAGAGGGAGCTGGTGAATTCATGGGCTGTGATGTAGCATTCGAGTTTAAAGGTACAAGCCCAGCTACCTCATCATTCCGAGTAGTTGTGGCACCATGGCGATTATGAGAACTACCCCCAGTGGTCAAATTATCATTAACTTGTGTAAGTGAAACAGAGGGAGCTGGTGAAATCATTGGCGATGATGCAACGTTCGAGGCTAGAGGGACAATATCATCTTTGCTTTGTTCTTCAAACATCGGGGCTACATTTTCATTGTTACCATTAAATACGTAGCCAATTTCCTTAGCCGTATCTGGTGCCAACGTCCCGTTTGGTTTAAGCAATTCCACTCCAGAACTATCATTAAGCTGTGTGGACTGCTGAATTAAAGTTGTATCTTCAGGATTACCACTCGTATTTGACTCAATCGAAAAATTGTAGTCCTTTATCTTGATTTTACCATCAAATCCCGCAGTAACATTGAGTTGTGTATTATTATTGGAATTTAAACCAGAAAATCCACCAGAAAATAGGGATCCTATAAGAGTTCCATATGGAAGTTGTAAGTATTGAACAAGTATGATAAATGCAAACACACCTCCAATTAGCCATAATGTTCTCCTGGTCTCAGCCCGGCACAGAAATAGATGGAACTCAGAACCCATAATTTCTATCTTTTGATTAAATCACTAGCCAATGCAATGTTCATCTAAAAGCCCCTGCGATTGAACCACTGGCATTACAAAGGCTTTTTTCCTTTTTTTTTTGGGGTGGGGGGTTGGGGGGGGAGGGTGGGGGTGGAAGATGAAGAATCAAAACAACAGAGCAATTTCAAAAGAAAAACTGAAATAGCAGAAAATTGATAATCCTTTGAGAGTAGTTCAACCAAGATTTCTAGACCCCAAAAACGAAAAAGAAGAAAGAAAAAGCACAAAAATAATAATTGTTAGATATAGGTTAAGATTGTATTCTACATGTATTAGGACTCTCCTCTATATGGATAAATACAACATGCACAGCTTTGCCCTAGCAGAATAAGTGTTACCTACAGTTCAGCAAGTTTGAAGTTTCCAACTCCAAATAAATCTTTTTTTTTTGGTCATCACTCCAAATAAATCTTCAAAAAAAACAAAAATGAGCCTTACATGACAAAAATAGCACTAAATTATTATAATTTACAGTTAATCCTTACAAAATAAGGTAAATAAACTATAACTAAGACCAAAAGGGGTTCCAAAGATAAAATTCCAAAATTACCTCTAACATGCAAAAGCTACTTACAGCAGAGTTTCCCTCTGTCACTTCTTCTTTCCTCTACAATGTATGAACTATGAATATCAAGAATTTGAAAAGTAATATTGAAACAATGATTGTAGAATAAAGAATTGTGAGTATTGAAAATTCAAGAAGACTGCAAAGCCATGCAAGACGTTGGTTTCTGGGTGCTGTTTTGGAATTCCAAGTGTTACTTCATGAATGCCACACGTCAGAGCATTTTTGGTTTTTTTAGGCTTTTGGATTTTCAATAAATGCTAAATGTGCGAGCTTCAGAAGGAAGTATGTGACAAATAAAGCTTAGCACGAATTTCAGATGACATTGATAGACACGTAATTTGGCGTAAATGCCACTCCGTACTTTATTTCCTCTATTTATTGATCCTTAATTTGGATTTTATTCTCTTTTTATTCTTGGGATTGCTTAAATATGGTAAGTTGTTAGAGCTCATACTATCTTCATATTGACGTGGTGATTTTAACGGTCAATTGATTTTGTAGTTCACTATAAATAAAAAAATTATATCGAAGTTTATTATGTTTGAACAATATCCTCTCACTTAAACTTTGAATTTTCATATTTCTTTTCTCTTTCATGCGGTTGGAAATGGAATTGATGAATACATATATGATGACAGATAAATATCTTATATTTACTGGATTAGTGTAAATTCTAAATGCAAATAAGTGTTTAATTACAATGTTCACCCTGTGAATTTTTCTCACAAAATAACTGATAGTAATTTTTCTTTATTCTCTCAAACGCAAAACAATTGATACAATAATTTTACTTGATTCTCTCAAACAATAGATATACGGCGAAACAATGAAATTGTGTTTGACATAAGTATTTATATTTGAAATACTCCTAAAAATAAGTTTTTTCATATTTTTCAAATATCTTAAATATTGAAGTTTAGAATTTTACAAAAACTGATGGTCAAATCAATATTAGCAAAAACACGAAATATGACTAGTGGCGAAGTGGATCTTAGCGGGGGGCATGGACAACATTTAGGCCTCATATGAGTACGCGCCCGTTACGCGTGTGCTTTGTCTCATGGAATAATTAAAAAGAAATATCTCATAAATGCTACTTTAGTATACAAGAAATTGTGTTTGGGGTATAAAATAATACATATATATATATATATATATATGTTCTCAAAAAATAATGAATATTAATTCTATACAGTTAATACAATAAAGAAAGAAGTTCCTATAAAAGTCCTTCAACTTAAAATTTATTCTAGTTTCATAATTTTATCACTTTCTTTCAATTTTAGCAAAATTATGCAAGCCTTGAAGACTTAAGAGTTTTTTTTTTTTTAAATACGTTTTGGATAGTTATTTTCAAATTCATCCTAAAGACACAAATAAGATCAATGAATCGAGAGAAGACACTTTTTTATATCTGTATTCTATTTTAATCAATAAAAAGTACTACTAAAAGAGTTAGTAAGTGATATTCTATTTTTTTGGAAATCTATTTCAGTAAGGAGAGTTCTTGTCACGATCTAAAATCCACCAGTCGTGATAACACCTAACCCAGCCCGCTAGGTAAGCCAATTAACAATTATCCAATTTCATTTAACTTAATAAAACAATTAAACAAGAGAATTATCTAAATCTTATATATTTTTCAAGGACTGGTAGTACAAATCATGAGCTTCTACGAATGGAGTTTACAAAGCAACAATGGAACAATTACACAGTCTGTTTGAAAAGTACATAAACAAAATTTTATAGTCTAAGGCTACCGTGAACAAGAGGCATCTACAGCAGGAACGCAGGTACGCCTTCAAATCCAGCAACCATCGAACGTAGCAACATCAGCATCCGGGATGTGCACGCACTGTGCAGGAAGTGCAGTATTAGTACAACCGACCCCATGTACTCAAAACGTAACAAACCTAACTTCAGGTTGAAAGCAGTGACGAGATAACACAGGATCGGGTCTAAAGCTAATACTTCCACAACAGTTCATAATAACATAAATGCAAGTATAAAAAGAGATATCTCAAAAGTAAAATACTCAGCTCGTTCACAGTTCCAAAAAATGGTCATGCTTTTCAAATATCTCAGTGAAAGAAAATCCCAGATCTCTTACCGAAAATGCCAAAGTACGAGTAAGTTTGAAAACTGTAATTTTCCAAATATCCTTTCCACAATAAATAAAATATTTCATTTTCTTTTCAAATAACAAGTATAAAGTACATCTCCATACCCACATATCAATGTATATAATAAGTCATGAATGACGTGATACTATATAGCATGAGGAACAATGCATCTCTATGCCTGTATGTCATGTATGCATGTGAACGCCATGTATCTCAGAGATGAAACATGTACTCACACTCTCAGAGTACTCAATCTCATTACCTTGTATCCTCTCTTACTAAGCTCAATACTCAGCACACTAAATCACTCAGCGTTGTATAATAACTGTTGCGGCGTGCAGCCTGATCCATATATACATATATAGTCGACCGCGCTCAGTGGGGGTGTACATGAGCGCGGTCGACAGACTCCGGAGGGGCTCCTACAGCTCAAGCACTATATCGCTACGGTGTGCAGCCCGACCCTATATCGCGTCGGCGTTGATAGTAGCATATATTATGCGATGTAGATGCTATTTTTGCTCTAAGTTAACCATACTTTATTGATGTTTTAAGTGCTAAATGATAACAAAATGCTCTAACTGAGGTTTTTATGCTTTGCAGGAGCTACTCCGAGTTAGAAGGAGGATATAGAGTGTTTTGGGGTCAAATATGTAGATACAAGGCCAATCGAGAAGAGCCCGGATGAAAACGAGCAAGAAAAGGCGAAGAAAAAAATGGGCAATAGTCCACCGCGACCGCGGTAGGGCCGCGGCTGGAACGCGGTGGAAAAAGGCGCAAAAACAAAATTGTCTAAAACGACCGCGGTCGGACCGCAGTTGGCCCCTGACTGCGGCCGATCTGGAGAATGCCAAGAAAGTCCAGGGGCCAAAGTGTAAAACGTGGAAAACTTATCATAACCCTATATAAACTCAACAAACTCGCCCAAGTAAAAAAAAGCTTGTTTTTAGACTCAATTGGAGGCAAGAACAAGTGTGAGAAGATCAAGACACCATTAGAGTTTTTCATTCTTTTTTCTTTTATCATTATTTTGTGAATTATGAATTATTTTATGGCTTTATCTTGTTTTACCATGAGTAGCTAAATATTTAATCTAGGGTTTTGATGGATCCTCTTGGAGGATGAATTTCTGATATGTTAATATAGATTTGCCTTAATAATTTCTCTGTTTGTTCAACTATATTGTGATTGATGTTGATTGAAGGGCCTTTAATCGGCTGTGATGAGTATGCATTACTCGGGAGAGAGTGTATATTTAGGTAGTTGTTGAACAACACCACTCCTAACGTATATGAGGGATTAATAAGAAGGGTTTAAAGGTGGGATTAGGGATAACGAAACCTTGGGTGCGATCTAAGTGAGCTGTAACTAAGGCCAGCTAGCGTAATTCAGGAGAATATGTCTAGTATATTGTCGTAATTACTCGGGAGAGAGTTACGACAGTCATAGTGCTCATGATCGATAGAGAAGATTTAGAAAAATTTATAGCAAACATAGCAGAAAGGATTCCGACAAGAGGGAAAATCGTAACCTTAGACCATTCTCATTCTTGCTTACAATCAGTCTATAGCTAGTCTTAATTTACTGCATTTTATTACATAATATTTCGTCAATAAAAACGCAAATGGTTAATCAAATATCTCTGAAGATTGAATACGTGAATTTCTGTGAGTCCAATAGCTGTGATTGATAGGTGAATTTCTTGTGGGATTCGACTCCGGACTTGTTAACCGGAATATATTTGCAGCGACTGCTTTGTCCTTTTTATAAGGCATAGTTGGGCGTGATCAGGAGTGCATCTCGATCCATATATTGTTGCGGCGTGCAGCCCGATCCATAAATATATTTATATCCTCACAATCAGGCCCTCGGCCTCACTCAGTCATCACTCTCTCCAGTCTCTCTCACGGGCTCAAAATATCATGAAACTAGCCTGACAACAATGATATGATGCATCAATAACAACAGTGAGACTGAGATACGATATGAATGCATGAATATGACTGAGTACAGCATATCAATGGAAATCAGTAAGATGACAGCAAGAAATAACCACTACGGGTACAAACAATATCAGCATAAAGCCTAAACATGATATTTAGCATGATTGACAGCTCAATTAATTTATCACATGATGAAAACACAAATATCAACAAAATAGGGCCATTATACAGGGCCATGGGAACAACAGAGTCCCATTTCACAGGGTGCACGCCCACACGCCCGTCACCTAGCATGTGCGCCACCTCAATAGCAATCACATAACACGTAGTTCGGGGTTTCATACCCTTAGCACTAAGCTTAGAAGAGTTACTTATCTTAAACAAGCCAATTCCGACACCGAGCAAGCCAAGCGATACTCCAAGAATCCCATCATGCTCGTTCTGACCTCCGAATGGCTCAAAACTAATCAAAAAAAACTCAAATACATCAAACAATGCTAAAAGAACCAATCACAGTCGATAAAGGTCGAATCTTTAATCAAAAACCCAAAATCGGCCAAAAAGCCCAACCCGGGCCCGCACCTCGGAACCCGACAAAACTCACAAAATCCGTCAACCCATTCAATTACGAGTTCAACCATACTAGTTTCACTCAAATCCGACTACGAATCGGTGTTCAAAACTCAAAATTTCATATTATGAAACTTTAAGCCAAAACCCCCAATTTCTTCTTTAAAGTTCATCAACCAAAAGCTAAAATCGAAGATAGATTCATGAAATATAACCAAACCCGAGTAGAGAATACTTACCCCAATTCATATGCTGAAAAGCGCCTCGAAAAATTGCCCAATTCCGAACTCTCCAACTCAAAATATATTAAATGCATAAAACCCTCGTTTTAACAGTGTTCTGCCTCGTGTCTTATACCAAAAGATCCAAAAACTCACTTTTGATACCTCCAATGGGTTCCTTGTAAAATTTTAGTCAAGTTAGAATCTTGAATCATCCCATTTGACCTTATATTGAAGGAGATATGTTGGTTTCAATATTTGAAAATAGTACAGATTTCTATATATGCCGCAGTGGCAATTTCGTAGTTAATCTGAAAAATCTGGCAACCCAATTCTTAGTCAAAATGACCATAAAATCCTCATACGATGTCCAAGTTTGATGATT